TCTGTGGGCTGCCTGCATGACTCCCATGGGCTGGTTGGGTCTGTGGGCTGCCTGCACGCCCGGGCACCGCGAGCAGCCTCTGGGGCTCCTGCCTGGCCTCAAAGGGAGGAGCAGGTGCTCTGTGTCCCCTGAGGGGGTGGTGGGGGCACAGCCAGCACTGCCGGCAGCCCCGGTGGGTGCCCAGTAGATGGTGCTGGTACTCGGCATAACACAAGGAATGTGGGAACCCAGCCTCCTTCTGCTTCCTTGGGCACGCTGCGGGACAGGGTCTGTGAGGAAGCAGCGTGAAATGCACCAGACGTGGCTCCTGGGAAGCGGGTCCAGCTTCCGCACAGCCAGCGAGCTGGTCCAGGGAAACCACCTGACTGTGAGGCTTCTTTGTCTCCAGGGGGAAGGTCTTCCAAGAAGGGGTTGCTTGCCTTGGAAAAGGGTGACTGGTCTGAACACGCTCATTGCAAAGGCCAGAACCTTTCCCTGGCACAGGAAGGGGAAGCTCTGTGTTGGGCACGGCGCAGACCCTGTTGTTCTGTCAGGAAGGGATGGCAGCTTGCACTGAGCTGTGGGACAGTGCAGTAGAGCTCTGCACGGACCACTGCCATATGAGGAACCCTGACTGGCTGAGCAGGGACCTGGTGGGAGCAGAGCTGGGCAGAGACTGTGAGTGTCGGAGGCTGCAGTGATCAGAGCCGCTGCAGTGTTTGAGGGAAGAATGCTGTTCTCCACTCTGGGGAGATCCAGCTGGAGTGCTGCATCCACTTCTGGATACGTTCAGGAAGGACGAGAAGATATTGGGGAGAGTCTGAAGTGGAGCTGTGAGAGATGCAGAGTTTAAGCTTGGTTTAGAAGACTTAAAATCTGTAAGAAAGTTGGAGGAACTGGGATTATTTAGTCTCTAGATTCCAGAGGAGAGATGTGGGTAGAGTTCTGGTTACAGGTCTGGCAGGAAGAGGGGCATGGCTTGTGTTGTGTGTCCTGCCCAACCAGGGCAGAAAAGGGAAACTGCAGCAGGGGAGGGGTGGGTCTGACACGGGGAAGAGCAGTGTGATGTGGGGACATGCATCACCACAACTCTGATCCAGATGGCAGCTGCTGCAGTAGTTTCCAGCTCTCCCTGGCGCCACTGGGACTCTTGTCCTCTTGTTTTGACAGAGTCGTGGTGGTGTTTGGGGCTGGCAGCTGTGCTTGTACTCAGCAGCGTGCAGGGACACAGGAGGGAAGGTTCTGTGTCTGGTCTCTGAGGCTGTGCAGCTGGGGTGGGGTGGGAGCCCTGCTCTGCTTCCAGCTCCATCCCTGACGCCAATTCCCACTATGCAGCATCCTGGCAGAGCTGAAGCTGCGTGACCCCAGCTTCCCAGACGTGTCCTACGGTGTGCTGATCCACAAGGTGATCATCGGCTCTCCGGCCCATCAGTAAGTGCTGCCCTGTGCCTCGGGATGTGTGAGGGAGGAGCCGTGCCGGGGGGATGTATTTAGCTCCATGTGTTTTGCTCCAGAGCAGGAGGGCTTGGGCCTTGCAGCAGAAACCACCTGGGCACCCTTGCCCAGGCTGAGGTACCAGCGTGGCTGGAGGAACACCTGGTGCCACGGCCCAAGGCTCCTGTGCCTGCCCCTCCATCCTTCAGGGTTGATGAAGCTGAGTGGCTGCTTTGCCCGCTTTGTGCTCCATCCACTTTCTCCCCGCAGGGCTGGGCTGAAGGCCGGTGACGTGGTGCTGGAGATCAATGGGACGGTGTCGCGGCGCGCCGAGGACGTGTACGAGGCGGTGCGGACGCAGCAGAACCTGGCCATGCTGGTGCGCCGCGGCCACGACACGCTGCTGGTGAGCGTCGTGCCTGAGGTGACGGAGTAGCGGGGACCGCCCGGTGCTGACCGGCAGTGCTGGCCCGGGGCTGAGAGCAGGACCGAGCTGTGTCTGTGCCAGCCAGGCAGGGCCTGAGAGCTCATGCAGGGCTGGAAGGAGCCAGGAGAGGGGCCCAGCCCGGTGCTTGGGTGACTTTGTGGTACAGCAATTTCCCTCTGTACTCAAAATAAAGCACTTTTCTAGGGGCCTCCATGCCACATCACCTTCTCACAACAGCAGCAGTTGCTGGTGGAGGCCGGGCCGCGTGGGACCCTGCCCCTCCTGTCAGTCCTCACACGAGACCTTCCAGGTGGGGAGGAGCTGGCTGTGCCTCCAATGACCTCCTCAGCGTTCGTGGTGTCCTGCCACCTGCTCAGTACCCACACAGCTGGGATCTGACTCCTCCATCTGTACCAGGCTGGCAGCTGTCAAGCTTCATGCAGCCCCTCTGTGGTGAGAGCAGCCCTGGAGCAGTTCTGGGACCAGCATTTCTTTCCTGGAGTGCAGCCGAGCTGCTCTGTGTTGCTGTGGCTGTGCCATGTTCAGCTGGTTACATCACTTCTGCTGGGAGCTCTGGGAGCATTCCGCGGTCTGTGCCCATGTCCCCTCCCATGCAAGCAGCATTCCAGGCCATGGTGAAAGGGGTGTTGATGCTGGACTTCGCCGTGGCCGAGGCAGCATCTCCTGGCCCTGATGTTCAGGAGGGCCGAGGGTGGAAGCTGGGCTGGGGCTCTGCCTGTCCCAACCCAGCCCAGTGTCCACTCCCACACCCACCCGGTCCCTGGGGACAGCTGGGCCCGTCCCTGTGCTGTGCAGCTGCTTGGCCGGCCCTTCTGGGAAGGAGCAGCTCCAGCCGTTCCTTGCCTTCCTGGAAGATCCCCCCTCTGCTCCCGCGGCGGCGGGTGGCAGCGGCTCTGCGGCGAGGGCAGCCCGGAACGGCCACGTCCGGCCCGGTGCGATGGCAGGAATGCGATGGCAGGAATGCGGGTGCCGGGCCAGGCCCTGCCCGTGACGGGGCTCCCGGGCCCCGGCTGTTACTTTGGGAGATGAAAGAAGCACAGTTCCTCGGGGGCGCTGCGGCGGGGGCGGCTCCGCTCCTGCCCCCAGGCGCTCCCCTGCCCCGAGAACAGGCGTCCTTTCAGCAGCCCCGGCCTCGCCGGAGGAATTCGCTGCCCCGGCCAGCGCCGCCGGCGCGGGGGAAATCGCGGCGTGTCTGGCATAGCTGCTCCGGCTGCGCTGACCGCAGCGCGTTCCAGGGCCCCAGCCAAGGCCTGCCCCTCTCCTCCTCCTCCTCCCGGGCTCGGCGGCAGCGCCTGGTGCCCCTACAACTCGTGTGCTGCAGGCACGACCAGAGCACCGGGCTGAGGAGTGAGAGCTGGGCTGTGCCTCCCTTGGCCCTTGTGTCATGTCCGAGTGTCCCTGCCCAGCATGTCTTGGCCCTGCCAGGCTCTGCTCCCACACAAGTCGAGGCAGCCCCTCTGTCATGAGCCCCCAGTTCTCATGGGTCACAGCCCCAGGGTGGGATTTCTGCTCGATAACATTTGCCCTGTGCAGGGGAACCAGCATTTCACCACACCCCAGTTGTGCCAGAGTGACCCCTCAGTTCCCCCACCGCGGTGCTGTGGGACTGCTGCTGGCCCCTTCCTCTTGCCCGCTCGGGCTTCTCCCAGAGCGGGGGAACCTGGTTGAGGGGGGTGCAGGCAGGGGGCTGCTGTGGGGCCAGCACTGTGTGGACAGGGGGACTGCCTCACTCCACCATCCAAGGGGGTGCAGGGGCTGGCCAGGGGATGCTCCCACGCTCTGTGCCAGAGTGTGCCAACCAGCCCTGCAGCACGAGCTGTGCCATGCGGGGCAGAGAAGTGCCAGCAGCCACTGGGAAATAGAACTAACAACTTTATAGAGAAAATAAAATTACAACTGAGAGATGGGGTATGAGCCACCCCTGGGCAGCGCTGTGAGCAGGGGTACCCTCACCATCCCTGGGGACCAGGGGATCCTGAGGCCAGGCAGGGGAATGGGTCCCTGCATGGAGGATGGGTCCTGGGACCAGCGCAGGGGTTGAGCTGTGGGGAGGGATGTGGAGTGAGAGGAACCAGGGCTGAAAGGGAGGAGCGGGAGGTGGGGTACAGCTGGAATGGGAAGGACTGGAGCGGTGGGGGGTGCAGGACCTCCCAGACCGTACCCGTGTGCCGCAGCCCAGGGAACGTGGGCACGGTCTTCTGGCCAGTGGTTGGGGTGGCGGCCCCAGGCTGGGAGGTGCAGGTGTCGGTGCCTCCAGCACCAGCCCCCCGAGGTGGGGAAGGGCAGCCGGTGGCAAGTCCTGGGCAGTCCCCAGCAGCAGCAGTGCCAGGCAAGAGGCCTCCCTGCCAGCCCCCAGGGGCTTCCTCCCACCCGTACGGGGTGAGGGAGGGAGATGCCCATCTCTCTGGGGTCCGGGGCCCTATGAAATCTGGTTGTTGAGCTGACCTGGGTACTGCTCAAACCGCTTGTTGGCCTCCTCGCTGAGTGCATCTCCTGCGGGCAGAGAGAAAGAGCTGTCAGCTCTGGTGCTGCAGGTCACCCGTCCTGCCAGCACCTCCCCTCCCACAAGAGCTGCCCACAGAGCCCCAGACCCTGCCCACCCCCATCCCCACTGCCTCCTGCAGCCACATTGCTGCCCTTCTCCCAGGGCAGCCCTGCCCGCGTGCCCTCTCCCCTGGGCCGTGTCCTGGGCGTTACCGATGTGGCAGCTGTGCACCCAGATGCGGTGCCCGTCGTACTTGCAGTTGCATTTCATGGCGTTGTTGGTGAAATCACTTTCTGCCACCTCGAAGTTGGGGTTGATCACAACCTGTGGGGCACTGACAGTGAGGGCACAGCCCCCTGTCCCACACCTTCCCAGCCTCAGTGGAGCTGTGCTCAGGACATGAGCCCTGTGCCCCAGCCCCACAGGGTGTGTCTCCCCAGCTGCCCTGGATATGCTGAGGGCTCCGAGGAGCCACTGTGCTGGGGTGGCTCCGTCCCTGTGCACTGTGTGCCCATGAGCAGCACCGCTCAGAGCTGGAAAACTCATGCAGAAGCCTGTCTGAGCAGCCCTGCATGTCTGTGGGCATGAGGACAAGCACTGTCCTACAGCAGCACACCTGCCAGCCCCACCCAGTGCCAGTGGGAGAGAGGACCAGGTTGCTGGGGCATGTGGAGATCTGGGGCGTAGGGGCAGAGGATGGGAGTGCACACAGTAGGGTGGCAGGAGGGGCCGGGGTGGCTCAGGTCCAGCACCTGCAGGATGTAGTTGCCTGGCTTGACATCAGTGATGTCGATCCACTGGCAGTCGATGTCATGCCGGTACAGGTCCCAGCAGCCCACAGTGATGCCCTGCTCCCCGAAGTTGGCACACTCGTACCGCTTGGCCACATCTGCAGGCAGGAGGAGATGCAGCTCATCCCTGCTGCAGCTCCCCTCCGTAGCCCCTGTGATGCCCACCCAGCCTGGCCCCAGCAGCCTTGTGAGAGGGACACGGCAAGGGATGGTGCTGCAGGGCCCTGTGTCACTCACCTTCCTCACATTCGGTGTCCTCCAGGCAGAAGCTGGCCTTGTGTCCCTCAGCCACCTTGGTGCCGTTGGGGGTCAGGATGTCGTAGTGGGTGAAGATGTCCATGCTGTGGTAGTGCCTGTGGGAGCGAGCCAGCGCCTGCTGACTGGAGCCTGGCAGAGGCAGAGACCCCCAGGGCAGACAGGAGACTTGCCCTGCGCTGTGTCAACCCCCCACACCACCGGGGGGAGGGCCTGGCCCCTCACCACCAGGAAGGTGCCCCCAGGCCCTGCTCTGAGGCTGTAGCACTGTGAGTTTGGGCAGAGCTCTGTCCTGCCCTGGGAACGGACACAGTCAGATGGCCCAGGCAAGCAGAGGGCTCAGCCACAGGGCCCAGCCTACAGCCCTGTCCCTGCCCACTATGGGGCCTCCAGCCCCAACACTGCTCCTTCAGGGACAGCCCTGAGCCAAACAAGGGGCAGCAATGGTACCTCACTCAGCGTCATCCTCACCCAGCGTTACCCTCACCCGGCATCACTCTCGCTCGGTGTCACACTTACACAGTGTCACCCTCTCTCCGTGTCACCCCTGCCCAGCATCACCCTTGTCCAGTGTCACCCTCACTCAGCCCATTGCAGCAGCACCATCACCCTCTCCCCACCCCACCCAGGCTGTCCCTGCCCACGCCCTGTCTCTGCCTGTGCCACACACGCACCGGTGGCACTCGTGCCAGACCCAGGAGTGCCGGCCAGCCTTGGGGCGGAAGTCGGCACGGCCGTGGTTGTGGATCTGGGAGGAGAAGCGGAGCAGGCGGCGGTGGCCATAGGGCCAGTTGGCCAGGCGGGCCGAGCTGGAGAGGCAGTTCTCCTCGGCGGCGCAGTACAGCATGTGCAGCGGCCGGTCCTCGATGTAGGCCGTCTCCTGCACCAGTGGCGCGTGCAGCAGCAGGTCGGAGGCAGCTGGGGAAAGGCGGCTGCTCTGGGACAGGCCCCACTGCTCAGCGGGGACAGGGCAGTGCCCAGTGCTGGCAGGGTTGAGCTGGCCGGGGGTGATGCGGCCCCATCCGCCGGGCACGGGCTGACCCTGCAGCCCCTCCATCTGCAAACCCCACTGCCTGCAGCCTCTTTAGCTGCATCCCTGGCCCCACAGGACTGTCATCCACAGCCCCCATTGCCCGCAGCACCCCCCGCCCGCAGCCCCCGTGGCCACTCACTCTCGGAGCAGATGATGCCCGCGGCGAAGCGCGTGCCCGTGTTCCTGCAGCTCAGGCTGGCGCCGTGGTGCTGGCAGTGGCTCAGGGACATCTCGTGGCCGGTGCACTTCACCCCGCTCATGACCATCTCTGTCACATTGCTGGCGTCCCAGTACCATGTCTCCTGAGGAGAGGCCAGGCAGGGTGGGTGGCATGGCTGGTGGCCCGGTTGCCCCGATTCACTCACGCCCAGGCTGCAGCCAGACCCCCACCAGGTACAGCCCTACCTATGCCCCAGGCTGCCCACAAGGGTCCTGTCCTGCAGCATGGAGTGGCCATGTGCCTCTGTCCCCAGACAGCCTCACAGCTGTCCAGGAAGCGCCGGTGTCTGTGCTCACCAGGGCATCACCAGGGGCCTCCCCGCTGGCACCTACCGTCACCGCATGCAGGGAGTAGCCCAGGCCGAGCTGACGACAGGCCACCATGGCCTCCTTTGTGGTCCAGCCATCGCTGCAGACCGTGCCCCACTTACTGCCTCGCTTCACCTCCACGCGGCCCTCGAACATCGTCCTCCCGCCGGCCAGGCGGATCTGCGGGGAAGGCCTGGGGCCGTGAGCAGGCACCCTGTGCGTGCCACCTCCCGCCCATCCCCAGCCCTGTCCGTCCCTGTCCCCAGCCCCGTGAGCAGTGGTGGTGGCTGCTGGCTGCCCTGGCCAAGCTGGTGCCGGCACCTACTTGTAAGCCGTGGTTAGCGAATCCCAGACCCAGCTGGCGACAGGCCACCATCGCCTCCAGCGTACCCCAGCCTTCGCCGCAGACCAGACCCCAGCGGGGCTGGTCCCTGTCGCCAGCCCCCACCGCCACCTCGACCCGCCCCTCGAAGCGGCTCCGGCCCCCGCTCAGCCGAATCTGCAGAGAGAGGCAGTGGCAGCATCATCACCATTACGGGTGATGCTCCCAGGACTGATGCAGTGACGCAGCCAGGGCTATGCTGTGGTGCCTGACGGGCCCTGGGCCAGGGGCTTCAGGCACATGGGGAGGGGGCAGCCAGGAACTGAGCAGAGCAACACACAGCTTTGGGCAGCAGGGAACTTGCTGAAACTGGCAGACTGGGGGAAAGGGACTTGGTTGTGAGTTTGGGAATTGTCTCAACAGAGCAGGGAAAACAGTTCATTTTGAAATGGTATCATTTCAGAAATGACAGGTATGAGAGAGTTAAAAATCATTAAAAGCTCAAACTGGATGAAACGATGGACCAGGGCAAATGAGAACAGACAGCTTCATTTGCTCGTTTCATCACAGGTAAAAAAAATATCTCTTGGTTGCCCAAAGCGATTTTTCTTCTGATGTTTCTGCTGGGGAGTGGGCACAGGCTGGCAGCAGGGAGGGCGGCAGGGAGCAGCTGCCCCACATCACCTCTCACATTGCCCAAAGTCCCCTGCAGGGTCCCCTCTAACTCCCCCTCATAGGGATGCCTGAGACTCCCACCCACAAAATCCCTGAGACCCCAGGGCAGAGAGAAACGTATGGGGTGCAGAGGAGGAGAGACGAGGGGCCCCTCTAAAGTAGATCCCATGGGCCTCCCTCAGCTCCCCACTCTGGGGTCCCACTGCCAAGAGCCACCTGTGGTGCGCACCAGGTTCTCGTAGCCCATGTAGGGGATGTTGCAGCGGACAGCTGCGTCCTCCGTGTGCTTGCAGTCCTCCTGCGTGATGTTCCTGAAGGGGCAGCTCCAGAGAGACTTCTCGGTGCCCTGGCACTGCACCTCATTAAGGTGGATGGGTCCCGTCCCTGCCAGGGGTCAGCAGGACTCAGAACTCCATGACACGGGGATGGCCGGGGCCTCCCTGTCCCCACGGCCGCTCAGCACCCCCGAGGGAGTTGGTGCACTCAAGCCTCCACAGCTCCTGCCTGGGGCAGTGCAGTTGAGGGGCCATGGTCCCCTCAGGATGCTCCACGTGCATCCAGCAGCCCAGTGCCCACGGGACAAGCCCAGCCGTGGCTCCCCCCAGCCCAGCAGAGCCCAGACAAGTGCCTCATCTGCAGCCCCAGGAGGAGATGCCTGGTCCCTCCGGCCCGGCACCCTCACCTTGGCCCATGCGTGCACCGGTGAGGGCCTCCTTGGCGCTGCCGAAGCCCAGCTCCCGGCACACCACGCTGGCCGACAGCAGGTTCCAGCGGTCGTCACAGATCGTGCCCCACTCGCTGCTCTTGAGCACCTCGACACGGCCCTCGCCGACCCTCGCGCCGCCCTTCAGCCGGATCCGGGGCTGTGGGGAGCAGGGACAGGGTGGTGTGGGACAGTGCGAATGGTGTGGTGCCGATGGCACGGCGGGGCACAGCACAGCCAGCGTGGCACTGCACGACTGGCGTGGTGCTGATTGCATGGCATGGCACAGCACAGCATGGCACAACACAGGGCTGGCCACGACTCCTGGGATGAACAGGGACAGGACACCAGCCCCATCTTGTGCTCTGGAGCCAGTTACCCAGGGACCTGCACACCCAGTCTGGAGTGCAGCCTGGGGCAGAGCCCAGCCATGGAGCAGTGTCTGGCTCTGGGCCACCACAGGACTTGTTCCCCCCCTCCACAGGGCTCACCTGGCCCTGCTGCTGCTGGCGCTGTTTCTTCTTGTGGGCATTCCCAGCAGCGAAGAGGGGCCCGGGCAGGCAGCTGACGACGGCGGGCATCCCGGCCCTGCAGGCAGCCGAGGCATTGCCTCGGTAGAACTCGAAGGTGCACATGGAGAGATGCACCTCTGTCCCCGTGCATGACACCGAGTGCAGGCGGTAGTTGAGCTGCTGCCGCTCCGTGAAGAGCCTGCAAGGAGGGAGGAGCCCTGAGCCACAGCCAGCGAGGCCAGTGGCAGTGGAAGTGTCACGAGCCATCCTGCCTGCGGCTGCATGCGCTGCCTGTTCCCCTTTTACCATCTCGAGGGTGACATGTAGTGCTGGCCAGGCACCCACCCCTCACCAACTGCCTGTCCCACATCCCCAGCAGCACAGGAACACGCATGGGAACACGCAGGCTCTGGTGGGACTGCATGGGGCTCTTGGCTCTCAGGCTCTCCACATTTACCTCTTCTTAGGCCCTACGTCCTCCCTGTGCTTTTGTTTAGGCTGAGGTTTGGAGGCCAGCCTGGAAAACAGAAAACAACCATCACAGAGCCCAGGGCCTAAGGTGTCACTTCTGCCATCAGCAGTGACACAGGGAGCACGGCCTGCCCTGGCTTCACTAGGGGCTGAACTTGGCACCTTGACCCCCAGGGAGACTCATGTGTATCCCCTTCATGTCACATATGGGTGCAACAGCATCATGTGCTGCCAGCAGTGTGATACAGCTGCCCTCTGCAGCAATGATGCAGTTTCCTGCACACATCCCACAGGGAAACTGAGCTGGATGCAGCCACATCCCGTGCTGCCTTATCACACAGCAAAAGATCAAACATCAGCAGCCACAATTTGATCTGTCAGGTGTGAGTGAGGTGTCTCTGTGTCCTCATCCAGACACCAGACACCCGTCACTGCACCGTGCCCCCGGGGAGCAGGACACCTGGCAAGCAGCAGCAAGCAAGTGGCACAGGCAGTGAGTGCTCAGCCCGGGGCCACAGGGGCTGCAGCCTGGCAAGAACCTGCTGCCAGTGGACGGAGTGGTCCAGGCACAGGCCAAGCTGTGGCCAAGCTTTCCTCTGGGAAGAGGAGACTACCCAGGGCCCAGCGCACACACAGTGTAGATGTGGTCCCAACATCCTCAAATGCTTTGCTTCCCTCAGACAACAGAGCCAAAACCCCAGAGCCCACAAGGAATGAAGAGCAAAGTGGTCCAAAGCAGGGCAGGGAACTGACACCCTCAGGGACCAGGCAAAATCAAGCCTGGCCACTGGCCCCACAGCCCAGCAGCTGATTGGTGTCAGCCTGCACAGCCCAGCGAGCCCCAGGACACAGCACGGGCCTGCCGGGAATTGGGATTCAGATGGCTGGAGGGCATCAGCCCATTCACATTCAGGAAGCCACATCTGGATCCTGCACCTGGTTCTGGGTCCCCAGGACAAGAAGATGTTATGTACACAGTATGAGGACCAGGGGGGAGCAGCAGGACAGCGGGGTGGCAGGGGAGGGGGGCAGGGGCACTGCAGCAGCCGACCCCCACCTGTGAGGGGCTGCTTGGCTCTTCCAGTGCAGAGGGAAGAGCACAAGAGAAAACAGGCATGACTGGAAATGCAAGGTTCAGGCTCGGGGTAAGGAAAACCTTTTCCCTGTGAGGGCTGTATCGCATTGGAGCAGAGACCACAGGGCTGCAGGATCTCCATCCATGGAAGATTTCAAAAAACAGCTGGATAAGGTTCTGGGCTGACCCATAGCCAGCCCTGGTCCACGGAGGCAGTTGGACCAGGAGTCCCCAAGGTCCCTTCCAGCCTGGATTAGCCTGTGCCCCACCTATCACTGTGGCTGCACAGCCCCAAGCTGATCAGCCTCTGCAAAGCAGTGCGTGGGTTTCCAGAACCAGCTCCTGCTCCGGGCAGAGGGACAGGAGCCAATGGCAACCTCATGGAATCACAAAGCATTTTGCCCAGTGTTGCAGGGGAAGGACCTGCTCACTGGGAAAGGGGCAGTCAGCACCAAACCACCCAGGAAACAGCACATTGCAGCAAGCAGGACCTGCAGGTGGGGGTTTGAGGAGACCCCATGGACTGATCCTGCCTGGATTCCCATCAGCAGCTGCAGGAGCTGGCAAGGATGGCTGTTGGTGACACAGGCATGGGAAGGGTCACAACAAAGAGCTTGCGATGGCTGTAGGGCACCAGGGAAGGTGGTGGGACCGGAGCAAGGCCATGTACTGGGGGCAGTGCAACATCTCCACGCGGCAGTGGGCTCAGGCAAGAGAGGTGCCATTTCACAGCCCCGAGAGAATGGGCGCCAGCTCACTGCACCCACCAGCAAACCCAGCAGCAGGATTCAGGGATGGAGGGAAAAGGCAGCCAGACCATTCCCTGGGTCTGGCAGAAAGCCAGCAAGATTGAATAGGCAGAGGATGCAAGAGACCCCAAGCAGATGCAGCACTCGGGGCAGGCCCTGCCACGCTGTGCCCATCCTGCTGGTGCCCAGCACTGCTGAGCAAGGGCTCTGGTGCCCCTGCCAGCCCACCCCCCAGGGAATGGAGGGGTGTGCAGCCTTTCCAGCTTCCCCACTGCTGCTTTCTGCAGAAAGCAGCCCATTTCCACAGCCCTCCCTCGCCATCCACCAGGAGAGACAGCTCTGCTCCGAGGCCTCCTGCTCCTCACAGGGCTGCAACACAGGATGCTGCAACCCTCTCCACCACTCTCAGGGCATCCTGCTCACTCTGTGCCAGGACTCCTGCCTGGTGTACAGCAGGGGAACTGCTCTGCTTGAGGCATGGCCAGCCTGGGAGAGAGATCATCTCTCGTGGGGAACCAGGGAGCCCGGCACACACAGGCAGGTAACCCAGGGTGGGATTTGTCTTACTGGGCCAGCACAGCCCAGGCCCTCAGTCTGCTCCGTCCAGATCTGTTTGTGCCAGGATCCATTCTGACAGAAGAGACCGGTGGGGCCCGGCAGCCCAGCTCCGCCACAGCTCAGCAGATGGGGCACCCCAGCCCCTTACCTGCTGCCTGGCCTCGGGCTCCAGCCCTTCGTCCTGGCTGCTCGCTTCAGCTGCCTGCAGAGCAACACTAGAGCTGCCTGGTCAGGGCACACCCAGCACCAGGCACCACGCTGGGCACCGCTGTGACAGCAGTCCCTGCCCCTCACCCAGGCCACGGTGCTGCTGGAGTATCCCAGCCTGCCTTGACTGCAAACCTCCCCTCGGGATGGGAACCCCCACGCTCTGCTTCAGAGGAAAATGATATTTCACCACTGCCAGGGAGCAAAAGCTGCTCTCTTGGAGTGGCCTCTGCAGTAGGGCATGAGACAGGTGGGCAGCCACAGCCCCCCAGCCATGCCACGGACTCCTGGCTCGGTTAGTGAGTGCCCATATGGCCAGCTGGTGCTCAGACTGGAGAGCAGCAGGAATGGGAGGGATTCTGGGGAGCCACAATACCCAAAAGCACAGCCCCCACTGTCCCCGCAGCACTGCCCAGTGTCCCTGGCACCATCCCCTGTTGTGCCCCAGCCCCATGCCCCTGGCTTATCTCCGACACCCCACCCCCATGGGCTCCCTGCTGGCCTCACTCACTTGTAGAAGTTCCTGTTGACCTTCTTCTCAGCCGGGAAACCCATCATGCCGCAGATGACGCGGCTGTTGCGGCTGTCCCAGCCCTCGTCACAGATCTGTGCCCAGCTGTCCTTGTAGCGCACCTCCACGATGCCCTCTGTCACCGGCAGCTGCCGCCGGGCCCCCGACACCACCGGCCGCAGGCGGACCTCCTCCACGTGGCTCTGCTCCGTCTGCAGGGCTCAGGTCAGCCTCGGCTCACACTGCATCCCGCTGCCCCAGCTCCTGCCAGCCCACTCCCAGGGATACTCCGAGGATGCAGTCACGGGTGAAGCACAGGGATGGCCAGGTCCTGCATCCCTGCCAGCGACATCCAGTGGCCCTGGGTGGCCAAGGACCTGACTCTGTGTAGCCCATGCCCCTCATCACCCTGGGTCCCCAGGTGCACCTCTGGGGAGCACAACCAGGAAAGCCAGTGCCACCCTCCTGTCACCTTGGGATCCTGCGCCATGAGGGAGAGTGCCCAGAGCACCCCACACCCAGGCACCCATCCAGGATGCTCTGTGGGAGCGTGGTGCTACCCACCCTGGCTATCAGCTTCCTCACCTCAATGACATTGGAGTCCTTGAAGCCTGGGATGCGCTCATCCTTGCAGATGACACCCGCGTCTTCCTCATGGCTGCAGTCGCTGTTGCCCCAGCCCCGGTGTTTGCAGTCCCCGATGCTCTTCTCGCCTCCGGCACAGTTCACGTTGTCTAGCCAGATCCGCCCTGCCAGACACGGGCCAGGGGTGAGGGAGCAGAGAAGGTGCCCAAGGAGCACAGCCAGGGACCATGGAGGTGCACAGCTGGACTGGGGGTCCCTCAGCACAAAGGCGAGGCCAGCAAAATGCCAAGACTAAAGCCCTGGGTGGGAAATCTGCAAATGGGGAGTCTCCAGCTCCCCCAGGGGCTGCTCTGACAGTCATAGAGCCCCACATAACATGCATAAAGCCCCATGTCCTGAGCATGCACATACTACATCTCTACACCTCTGCCTACACCAACCTGAGCCCACCATACTGGTCCCCCTAAGCCATGCATGGCCCCGCAACAGCCCCCCACACCTGCACGGCAGCTCACATTCAAACATTCAGAGGTTCCCATCCACTTTGCCTGTGCATACAGACACACATGCACACACACATGTACACACACACACGTACACACACATGCACACACACATATGTACACACACATGCACACACATAACGTGCACACACACACGTGCACACACACACATGTGCACACACACGTGCACACACACGTGCGCACACACACATGTGCACACACACATGTGCACACACACACATGTGCACACACACATGTGCACACACACATGTGCACACACACACACATGTGCACACACACGTGCACACACGTGCACACACACACACATGCGCGCACACACACGTGCACACACATGCACACACACACGTGCACACACACACACGTGTACACACACACACGTGCACACATGCACTGCTGAGCACGCGGCAAACACGGGCCCTGCCCCCCCAGGAGCACATGCAGACCTGCTGGGGCACACCCCTCGGGCCAGGCAGTGCAGGGGGTGTGCCGGGGGGCTGTGCTCTTACCAACGCCTTTGCCATACTTGGCGCTGTGGGCCCAGCCGGTGGCAGCCACGAAGCCGAGGTGCCGGCACAGCACGTGCGCGTTGCCCAGCGTGAAGTCGTCGTCGCAGATGGTGCCCCACTCGTCGTTGTAAAAAACCTCGACACGGCCCTCGTTGTGCTTGCGTGGGTAACCGGCCAGACGAAACTTCAGCTGGGGCCCAGGAGTGTGCGTGGGGCCCAGGGGGGTGGGCTGGGAGCTGCCCACCCCCAGCCACACGCTGCCCAGCAGCACCAACAGCTCCCGCCATGCCCACGTGCCGCAGCCTCCCATGGCAGCGTGGCTCTGCAGGGGCAGAGAGGGTCAGGGTACGTGCACACTGTGCTGGAACACCAGCCCCCCCATCCAGCCCTTTGCTGGCTAAACCCCCTGCCCAGCACCAGCACACCATGTGCCTTGTCCCTCCAGAGCCAGCCCAGTGCCCCTGCACGCAGCTCCCACTCTGGTCCTGCACCCCTGGGGCTGTCAGGGGCTCTGCCCAGTGCCCCCCACTCCACGGCCCCCTCTGCCAACAGCTGCTACTGAGCCCCCACCGTGCTGCCCGGTCGCATCCACTGCACTGAAGGGCAGTGAGGACAGACAGGCACGGGGATGTGTGTCACCCTCAGAGAAGTGGCTGGAAGGAGGGGGATCAGCTGCCAGGGCTGAGGGAGCTGGAACAGTCCCAGGGCACAGGGAAAGTCCAGCTGGACCGACCAGGAGCTCGATCCAGCAAGAGAAGTGAACGGCTGCTGGCCCAGAGGATTCCAGTCCATGCTCTTGCCCTCCGTGAGGAGCAAGGCAGCCAAAGCATTCACATTCCTGTGCTGCCTTTCTCCATTACTCCAACAACATCTGTGGCTCCCTGAATACCTGAGGGAGATGTGGTATTCCTGCACCAGTCCCATCGCAAACAATAGTGAAAACCCTTCTCTGTGAGCTACCCTCCCTTCCTGATGCAGCATTCCCAGGGACCCCATAGCCCAGGAGCAGCATTTCTGCACAGGCGCTGTCAGTAAGCTCAGGCCGATGCTCACCCAAGGCCACCAGCACAGCCACCCACCCTCCTCCCACCACTGCAGCCCCATGCCACCCTTCCAGCCTGTCCCTTCCACAATGGGAAAGCACACACCCCAAAACACCCCCAGGACAGATCCCCAGCAGGACATCTCTGTGCCCCACATCCCCCAAGCACAGATCTTGCCTGCCACACTCACACAGACTGCGTTTGTCATTAGACAATACTAAAAAGCACTAACTTTTTAGGTCTAGCTTATCTGCAGCATCACAGAGGAAGGAGAACAAATTCAAATCCTGACAATGATCCCAGTTGGGGCTGTGCCACAGGGACCCTTCCCGCAGATCCACCCTATGGTGCCAGCATGCTTCCCTGCAAGGCTTCATCCCGTGCTCTCCTCTCACTGCCCCCGTGCCAGCCTGGGGAGGGATCCTCAGAGTGAGGGAGTCAGGGTGTCCTCCCAGACAGCACAGCCTCTACAGCTCCTCACCATCAGCCTGGCCACCCATGCAGGGCTGGAGGCTGGCACGGTTGACCCACCACCCCATCAACCTCCAGGGCAGGGTTTCTAGAGAGGAATCAGCCCTGTTCCTGCTCTGTTCACTTTTCCAGATGATGGGCGCCTGGTCCCCACTCCAGCTTCTGGGAATGCTTCCTGGGTCAAGGCAGGGATGAACCGGGATGGTGCCCAGTGCCAGCCCCTTTTCCATGCCCATTGCACCAACAGAAGCCCCCACAGGGCCCAGCTCTGCTGTCTGCCTGCTCCTTTGGGCACACACCACATCAGAGGTGCCACCTGGAGCAGAAAGTCCCTTGGGATGAGCACCAGGTGTCTGCAGAGATGCTCAGGGAGAGACAACAAGGAGTAACAAGGACCGGCACCACTGGTCCAGTTCTACACCAGAAACAGTGGTGGGAATGACTAAGCACTTAGTGCTTAGTTTAGTTGAAAAGGTAAAAGGTTGGACTTGATGATCTTGGAGGTCTTTTCCAGCCATATAGACTCTATGATTCTATGAAGCACAACAGCCCCCTCGGTGCAATCACATCAGCACAGATCTGGTTCTCTCCTCTATCGGAGCTGGGGCACAGGGGACACCACAGAGCTGGTGGGGACATGGCACAGGCAGGAGCATGCACTAGCCCAGACACCTGGGCCCCTGGGGTTGGTGGGAGCCAGCTCTGGGCTACCAGTACCTCTGCTGACTGCTCTGGCACCACGAGAACAGCAGAGCCCAGCAGGAAGCATTTGTGGGAAGGTAGCAGGGAAACGCTCTGCTGAACCTTTTACTCAGCCTGTCCTGGCAGGAGGAAGGGAGGGCGGGTGCAAAGAGCCACCCCAGCCCCGCCAACAGCTTAGGAAAGGGGGTTTCTGGGTATGGGACGGGAACGCTCCATCCTCATCTCCACATCACCTGGAAAGCAGCAAAGGGATGAGTTTACCACTCACAGAAGTAAAAAAACTTCTTATTCTGCCCATCAGTCACCAAGGGGACATTGCCCTGCCCAAAGGAAGCATTCATTATAAACCCTCAGAGCTATCCTGACACACAAATCTGGGCCCCCTCAGTGCCAGCTGTCACACACCTAGTGACATGGGGAAAGCTGCAAGCACACAAGAACTGGAGCTTCCCTGGCTCTTGCCCTGAGTGAGCAGGATGCTCTGCTGCAGCTGTGGGCAGTCACTGGGCTGTTTCACAATGGGGTCAGTACAACCCAGAGGACAGCAGCACAATTAATGCCAATCTCCTCAGTCCGGCAGAAATAGCCCGTGTCAGGAAGTGGGAATGGCCTTTTATGAGATCACAGGTTCAGTTAATTGGAGTAACTGTGTTGATACAACAGGCTGAGACTGGAAGGCATTTGATTCATCTTGCACCACCTTTTAATGAATAATTAGCACTCAACAAAATCAGTGCACCTTCTGCTAAGTGGATTAAAACTGGTCACCTGCTGGAACTAAAATGTGGTTACATGGGCAAGTCACCATTCCGTGGGCTTTCTGGTGAGGATCACATGTTTTTCAAAGCAAAACTGTGCCAGGAGGAGGAAAAAAGTCTGCTCCTGGTACAGACTGCAGAGACAAAAACGGGGCGGGGAGCAGGGATGGGGACACAGACAGACCTGGACAGCCCAGTAAAGCAGCATCGTGCAGCCTATACCCTTGGCTACAAGGAAAATTTAAGCCTGTGCATTGAGGAGCAAATCACATAGGACCACAGACCAGAATGTGGCACCTGAGAAAGTGCTTGGGCTTTGTGCAGCAAAGCACTGAGTCCCCACTGAGACTCAGCAGCGTAACCTCCGGGGTCTGTAATCTCTTCTCCCAGGTCCCAGTTCAACTCTGCTCAGGCTCCAGTGCCCCTTGTCCCCACTGCACTTCCTCTGCTCTGGCACCTCAGCTCTGCCACTCACCTCGGAGTTTCCCAGTGACATGCCCTGCTCAGGTCTGTGCAGGCCAAAGCCCTTTGCACGCCCAGCCCAGGACAGCCCTGGGCTGACAGGGTGAGCTCCCTGCAGCACAGCACAGCTTCTTCCCTGTTTCTGTACCACCTCCCTCTCTGAACACACTCCATGTCCATGTCCCGGGCAGTCAGGCTAACAGGGCTCTCTTTGTCCACATCACTTTTTCCATTTTCGGAGGCATAAGCTGTGCGTTTGCTCCTCTCCAGCTGTGTGACACTACCCGGCTGCTTGCTCCTCTGGCAGGCTTTGCTCTGGTCCTGCATGCTGCTCTGGATGGGGAGCCCACCCCAGCACCCCGACCATCCTGCTGCCAGCTGCCCACTCCAGCCAGGGACAGTCTCTTCTTGGACCAGGGCTTGTGCTGTGCCATGCTCAACATGCTGCCCCGGGCACAGATGCACAGCAGCACTCCACTGCAAGGGGAAAGGGCTCTTGAGGATGGGCTGGCTGGAGTAGCACTGGGCGTGGGAGCCTGGAAGCAGTCCAGGTCCTTGCCACTGCCCAGGAAACCTCAGGAATGTCCCAGCTGGGTGTGCACGGGGCCCGAGTCACATCCCAGCCCAGGGCACAGCTGGCACTAGTGGTGGGGTGTCCAAGAGCTCTGCAGAGCCCAAACCCTGAGGTTCCCCTCACCCCCAGCCTCAGCCCTCAGCTGCTGAGGCTGGCATGGGCACGTGGACCCTTTGGGGCAGAGGGCAGCCCCACACAGCAGCAGGAACCACAGCACTGCTCTACCTGCTCCCGTGCCAGCCCACTGGCTCTGCCTGACCCGGTGAGTGATGGTGGCTCCCATGCCCCCCCCAGACAGAGTCACCCTGATAGGGCCTGCAGCCCTCATGGCCAGGCACTGCCCCCACCATCACTGTGCTCCCCCAGGTGTCCTGCACAGGGGCTGGCAGGGTGAGCAGTGCCAAGCAGGGGTGCCCAGGGCCCAGAGGGGGCTGCAAATTCCCAAGGACTGTTCAAATCGGGTTTGTCATTTGGCACTCACCAGGCATGCAGAGGGACATTAGTCTGCCCCAGCAAAACCCCAGTGAATGGATCTTGGGAAGGGGCAGATCCTGGTGAAGCAGGTCCCCAGGCAAGTCCACATATTTGATCAGCATCGAGCATCCCTGCCGGCACGGGGATGACATCCCAAGCCACAGCAGTAGGGGAAGGCCAGGCCATCGTGGCCTGACAGGAATGTGCTCACTCAGCAGCAGGCTTGGACGCATGCACGGCGACATGGAACATCCCAAGCACTGACAACTGGGAGGACTCAGAGAGGAGCAGCAAAAGTGACCGAGGACCTGGGAAACCCGCCAACACAAGGGAGAGGAAGCTTGCTCTGTTTATCCTTCCTTGGGAACGTTAAGGGGTGATAGAGTCACACTCTGTTGAGGCCCATGCCAGGACATCCCTCAGAGTGTGAGGTCACGTCCCCAGCACTCAGGGCAGGAGAAGGTCTGGTGAGTCCCATGGCTTCAGCGCTCCATCCCTCCCCTTGTCCCCAAGGCCCCAGCACGCACAGACCAGAGCTGGGCCTTTCGCAATCCGGCTGCCTGGATGAGCCTGCTTCGCTCTTCCTGCTTCCCAGCAGCCCTGGGATGCATGAAGCAGGGGAGACTCAACACTCCCGCCCTGTTCAGGAGGGGACCTGCTGGCTCCCTGCCTGCAGGGCCCCCATGGATCGAAGCTCCAGGGTCAGCACAGCCAAAGTCTGGAGGGGAGCAGGATGCCACAAACAAACTGGTCTCAGAAGCACCAGGGAGCAGCCCAGGGTCACCACGGAAACCTGGCCACCCTGGCAGGCTTGGCATCACCTCCCGCTGGCTGGGAGCTCACTGCCCCTCGCTGCCCCAAAAGCAGGGTTTCTGCCCCACCACCCACTGTGTGCCCCCATCCCAGGCAGGGACAGGGACCCTGCTGAGGAAAGGACACTCTGGCTCTTGGAGTGTCAGCAAGGGCAGAGCACAGTGTGGGGCTGGGGCTGCACTTCTCTTCCCTTGTCAACTCCAGGTCCAGCCCCTTTGGGCTACCTGATGTCCCAGTATCCCGCTGTAACCCTCTAAGCCAGGGCAGGTCACAGCAGCTCCTTGCAGCTCCTACCCCCACCCAGCCTCCCCAGGACATGGCACGGCCCTCAGCTCTGCCTACTCTGCTCTGAGCTTCCCCGGGTTCCAGAGGGGCAGCCCTGGGAGGGACCAGCTACAGACAGGAAGGAAAGATCCCAGAGGAATTTGCAGACATCAGTCGTCAGCCGCAAAGTCTGGACTGAGGGGGTGGCAGCGAGTCTGAGGACTGTGGTGTGGGTGGTGGGTCCGGGGTCCCAGGCACCTCGGAGCAGGGAGCCAGCCTACCTGGAGCTGCTGGAGGCAGGGGGTTGGCTCAGCCGCGGGCTCCTTTGAGAGCAGCTGAGAAGACACAAGGCCAGCAGCAAAGAGAGAATCACCTCTCCAACAGCGCCAGCCCTCCTGCCTCACATCCCTCCATCCATCCATCCTCTCTTCCAACAGCTACAGCACGTTCGGTCTTCATGGAACTCCCGAGTCTCCACCGACCCTTGTAACCGGCAGCTCGGCCCACGAGCCTCCCGCAGCCCACATACAGCACAGTTGGGGTGTGGTACAGCCCGCACAAACCTGCGGATCTGCCGGGCGGCCCTTACCGCAGGACACACGCGCTGCCCGCACCCAGTCACTCTGCCCACGGGGCACGGCCCACGGCACGGCCCCGCACCGCGGCACACGCAGCGCCCACGAGGACGGCACGGACACGCTCTGGCCACCGGGGCTTTGGAGCGGTGAGACCGGCCCCCCCGGGACACCCCCGAGGCGCCCGGGCCCCGCGCGGCGCAGCCCCCGCCGCTCCCGGGGCAGTCCCGTTCCCGGGGCAGTCCCACTCCCCGGG